ATAGTATATTGTCATATTACAGTAGATTGTAGTGTTATAGTATACTGTGGTATGATAGTATATTATATCTTTTCATAGCATCTAAAGATTGGGGCAAAGGAAGGCTCTCCGACGATGTGTGCCTCTTTGGACGAGATGACGCCGTTCGACGTGTCAAAATGCCACAACCTACAAGAACAGTGAGAACAGTTGCTACCAATTTCTTTATCTTTGCCTATGCTGGTGAACAGAACCTTACGTGGGCTTGCCAAAACATTCGCAACACCTTCATCCCCAAGCTCCATGCTCAGACAAGTTTCAAAAGACTGCTGATTGGTTGATACTCAAATCTCGGGTTCATCTCTCTTTCGGTCACCCCTTCTGACGCAGCATGGAGCACAAAGGTTAAAGGCCTGGATTGGGAAACAACTCAAATCTGGCCATGCCACTGGCGAAAGTCGCTTGTGTTGCAGTCTTCCATCACCACCTGCGGCAATCCATCCCAGTGAGGCAAATTCGCATCGGATCCATTTATCAGCTTTGCAGCAAGGGCTGCCTGGTCTATACAAAACATTGTCATTTCCAATATTTGCTAACTGCAATCGTATCCCAACCATGATGCCTCGCTAGGTCTGGGGTGAGAGCTCAGGGATCCCACGGCTTCCTGCTCGGTGTGACTGGAATTGGATTCCGCTTGACATAGCATGCTTTTTTGAGCATCCGTTACACCTCATTGCCCCCCTGAAATGATCAGAGGAATGCAAGACTTTAGCGAGACCTCAACAGCTGGAGCAATTTCGCTTGAAGGTCCCCACTGAGCCGCAGGCTGTAGCCAAGGCTCTGCAATGATACCCCTTTGCACCAGCACTGGCGCCTACCTGGAACGAGCTTCGCGCATGAGATTAGGCATCTGGGACCTTCCACAGCACCGGGGCCAGACTATGGCTAGGCACTGGACGATGTGCTGAGTCCCAAGTGTTCATGAACTCTTCACTACAAGCGACGCATTAACACAATAAGGGACCCCCACTTAAGGGGGCTGATGGTTCTTCAACCACGCATTATGTGCAGCTCAGGGAAGCGTGACCAAGATTTCTAGCAAACAAGCCCTGGTCTTAGGCGGCCAGAGTTCCTGCAGTCAGAGCATCTCGGCAAATTCCAGAGCTCAGCTGTCTTAAAATCGGCAAGATCGGCAAGTCTTTGGTAAGCTTCGTCGACAGGCCTGGCTAACTTTACAGGTCCCTACTGAAGACATGCTCTATCCTAGAATTCCGAAGCCGGGAAGGGCACGCTCAAAACAAAAAAGGGATCCACAAAGTGTATCCCCAATTTATGAGAAGTCCTTGGCTGACAATTAAACAGGGTTTTGTAAACACCTGTTTTTGACATGTTCACGAGCTGGGTGTCCGGCGGGTTTCAGCCAAAGCTCGCAGCGGCTAAACTGGTGGTACTCGAAACCTACAATCAAGGTGCTGCCGAATAAAGGCTTGGAATGACACCTGCACAAAGCTGCAGACTTGAAAGTAAATGATCAAGCTCGCAGTGATGGTAAGCCGCCCCACCTGTGCAGTAGCCTGTGGCCATAGAGCATTTTCGCTGACAATCCTGCATACATGGAGCCACACATGCTCTTCATAGGCATCATGGAATCTAGGCGCAGACCAATGTTAGCCTGCTTCTAATTTGAACCGTTCACTGTGATAGTTAACGAGAGCCTTGGCTTTGTTGCAGTGCTCCGCTAACAGTGACTGCACTGATAGGAGTTGATATCATGCTGACGTTGGCCAGGAAGAGGGCGAGCAGGAGGAAGATTATGCAGATGGCGGTAGTGTGGATGCTGCCTGTCTCAGCTGTGTTACTATTACCTGAGCTGCGGATCCCAAGCTCCCTCAGCGGTTACCCGCAACCCATCCGGCGCATGCAAGCAAACTCTTTGCCTGGGGTCCCTTTTGACTGTCACCTCCAAAATACAATAAGCCCTGTACAGGCACTGCCCAAAATCAACACCTAATTTGCATCCCAGAGAAGACTTGAGAATACTTCGCAACTCGCATGCTAAAGGTTCCTCTTTGGAGGAGGCAGTGGTGAGCTGGAAGTAGGAAGCCTGGTTGTCGCCTGCGCACATGCTTACGCTCTTCTTCTTCACAGAGAACCACCGAGCCCCCGTGATTCCGGTCTTACTAGCAGTGAACGGAGCTGTGAAGATGTAGGTGTTCCACATTGAAGCATCATGCTTTCTCCTCTTCTGTTTATTCTTCACCTGTGACTCCTTCTTCTTCCTGGGCCATGCTAACCCCTCGCAAGGCAAGCTGGGGTCGCCCATGCCCCAATCGTGGTGCCGCGTCAGTAGGTCGGCATCACAAGGAGGAGTGCTAACCACTAGGCTCCGGATTCCTAAGCAAACGCCCCTGATTCCGTGCTTAGGGCACTGTGTGGGCAAGCTACAAGCTTTGCTAAAACTCATCATCTGCCACATTTCGAACAGGAGACATACCATTGCCTTGCCTCATGACTCCTTCTCTGTTTCTCTCTCATCTCTTCTTTGCTTGGTTGTCTGCTTCTTGTGGCGCAGCTGACATTTTTGAGATACTGTACATGCAATCGGTGGCCCAATCGGTATAGTCACCAACTCCGGCTGCAAGGTTGCCAAAACAGTCACGGCCCACCTACTTCAACGGGAGTGACCAACAATGACAGGAGCTGCCATGCAAGGGAGCAACCAGCAACACGAGTGCGTATTCCCGGCGAAGAGGATACAATCCGGCCAAGCCTCCCTAGGACGCGTGCGGAGGAAAAAAAATGCAACAGTGTCTGCCCTCAATGTTGTCCTTTCTCTCGGCCACATGATGCCTCGCTTGGAGGCGACAATGTGCTAGCTTCCCCCAAGAACAATCAAGAAAGCCGATCCGCTTCTGCAACGGCAACATTAGGCCCCATCCCTCATCAACCCTCGAAGCTAGACCCAGGAACGCCCTTGAACCCGCCCAAGCTTGAAACTCCGCTTCAGAAAGAAAACTTACCAAGTATAAGAGCGCTAATTCTTCAAGCTTACATCAGGCACCTGGCGACTCGCCCCGGCAGACCCGGTTCTCTCCACCGTCCACGGGCTCGAAGATGGCAAGCGTGGGATCTTCCTCAGTAAACCCTGCTCGCCCGCAGTAAGTGGAATATGGGCAATTCCAAAACTTGGGGGGTCCCCTTGCAACACCCCAAAATACCATCATCGTTCAGGGATCCTGAAATATTGGACCTTTTTTTGTTGAAACTGCTTTGCAAGCCCCCATTAGGGTGGATGTTGGGAATCCATGTTCAGTTTATCAGGCTTTCGGATTCGTTATGCTTGAGAATGACTCTCTAGGGTTTGGGAAGTTCAGGGCTGATCAGAGGATTTGTGTGGGCTCCAGGTCTGGGATCGGGACATACTCGCCAATGCCACCTCCCAAAACCATGCACAAGGCGCAAGAAAATAGAAAATCTCCAGAATGACTCTGTCAAGACTCAGCGCATAATTACCCCGCGTTCCCACATGCCACAAGTAGCAGGGTTCCCCGGAAGAGGACCCAGAAAGGTTAATCTCAAACCTGAGATGTAAGGCATCCCCTGCCACCCTGCATGCCTTTGTAAGCCAAGGCCGGAACGAGGGAGGCGGTGTAGCAGGTGAAGTTGGTCGCTTTGACCCCAGTTTGCACCTCGCAGGCTGAGGATTGGAGATGATTTGGGATTTTTTGCGGGTCCAAGAGCCATGAACTAAGTCTGCTTCCTACTTGACGAGACCAAGGCAGGAACAGCAAAAGAGATCTAAGTCAAGGGGGGCTTGTTGACATGCTCAGTCTCCAGCGCAGTGCCATGGGCCTTCAATTAGCAACCTCTCTGACGTCTCATACTTCCCATTAGACCATGGAATCTGCAAAATCCCTGGCCACCAGCTGGCACATGCTGGCACACCGCACGGAGGTAGATGCGGGATCCAAGACTAAGCTCCAATCTTTCATTCAACCACCAAAAACACTACACGCGAAAAGTTCTGTAGAAGGTAGGGGAACCAGGATCTCTGCACTCATCCTTTTGACGCTATCTTCTATCCTCACACCCTAAGCTGTTAACCCCAAATGCAACTGTCATCGCCAGGACTCGAGGTTCCAAGCAAACCCCATGCATATGCAAGCCTATGTGGACAGCCATGGCAAGCATCTCTGACGCTCATCCAAAACACAACACCCAAGCACAATAAGGAGCTAATGACAAGCAAAGCGGGATTATGGCAAAAGAAATACACGGAAAAGGCAGGACCAGCTCCTCCCCAAAAATAACAGGCGAAAGAGAATTGGCATGCGGCCAAAAAGAGGAATTGGAATACACGTGCACCAGCAGACGTAGCAAGAATCCTCGATCACAGTGATCACCACGCTTTGGACAAAGGCAATGCAGGATACCGCTGCCTGCAAAAGCCGCATCCCAGTCAGACTTGTGTTCACAGCAGACCTCTAGCTCTAAAAGCAAATTGAAGTAGCCCCCTACTACAAACCCTCCACTCTTCCGGTAGGGCCCCTGGCTTCTTTGGTCCAGACTTCGCAGCGCCGCATCGAAGGATTGTACTCGATCCCCGTGCATTCAGCCCTGGCTTTCAGGAAGCTGCCAGATTGGGGGAACCCCTGACTATGGGGGTTTCTCAAAGGTTTGGGGGTACGAAGTCCCAAGCCGTTGAAGTCGTAGGATACTTTCCGCAGGCCTCAGCGCGTCTATGATGTGGAGGGCTTCGGGAACATAGATCTTGGCCCAAGGCAACTTGATGCGCGGTCCTTGTACGCCATGAAAGACCCCATCAAAAGAGTCCCCCTTGCCTGCCCAGCTTTGCGCCATTCTTGAAATTCTTGGTTTTTGCAATCCCTATAGCAAGCACTGCATTTTTTTGAGAGGAATGCAGCGCAAACCCGATGTTGAGAAGGACCCAATAACACCTAGCGAGAGCATCATCGGATCTGTGACTTGAGCGAGCTGTAGCAGCTGCGGCATCTACCGGCCTTTCGCTGCAGTAGCCCTTGCAAGTGTCCAGATCCCCCACGCCCAGGAAAGGGATGTAGTTGCTTCGGTCATTATCGCCTGAGGCTCAGAAATCTGGTGATCAGAGCAACAGCCTTTGAGCGCGTACTCAGGAAGTAGAGGACCTACACGATGGAACAGGGCAGGCCAGAGCAACTGTTGAACTGGGGTCCCGACGCCAGTCGGTGCCCCGGCAAGCTATGTCCACACCACCGCGAACCGCCGTATAGGAGAGCTTTGCCTGCATTGACTGCATAGAAGATGCCGGATGAATCCACGCGGAATCATGTTCAGGTTTTGGTAATACTGGGAAAACTCAAGCACAGAAAAGGTGAACAGGACAGGGATCCAAATAGACTCATCTGCCGCATGTAACGAGGAACTGCGGCAAAAGGCCACGGGATTCTTCTCGAGGCTTTCAACAGCATACGGCCCCCCACGAAATGCTGAAAGCTTCAGGACAGCAAGGAAAATCAGATGCCTTCTATCAGCTATCCCGTAGTCGAAGCAGTGACGAGGAAGAGCCGTAACTAGTGGCAGCCCTCGTTCGATTGCGACACGAAGACGAGCAGAAAGCTGTCCCAAAACCGGAGCTTTTCAATAAGGATCGGGCTTTTGAGAGGTAAGCTTGTACGGCTGTACAGGGACTCATAAAATTCGAGGCGTTTTGAATTAGGACTCCAGGCGTGGTCCTTCGCTTCATTCATAGTACCGTTTGCCCTACAAGCAAAAGCAGGCTGGAAGCAATTGCCCATCACATCACACTGAATGCACAACAAAGTCACAGACCTCTTGTAATCAGGGTGTATACTCACGCATGCTGACTTAGATATCAGCGTGGGCTAGCGCTTCCGGGTCAAGTTGACATGTACCAACTCCAGATAGGGAATCTCCACGTGACAGGCGTGACGTCTTCAACAACATCCCGAAAAGGGTTTCCAAACAGGGTTTCCGCGTTTGCGCCGCACTCTCTGAGAACAATGTATTCTCACAAAATCCTGTTGAAGCGGCTGATAACCTATTGCCACCCCCTTGCAATCTCCCAACAGCCCAGTTATATTCTCATGTATAGTTTCCATGGAAACCATATGATCGAAAGTACCGTCTGATCTTGACCATAGCAGTTTCTCGAAGCTAAGGTTCTGCATACAACTCCCAATGAAATCAGCCCAAGTATGAGGATGTCCAACAAACAGACCGATGAGTTTGCTTGTAGCTGGTGAGTCAGTGGCCTGGCGAATTCCGCCCGCATGCGGAGCCATGAGGCACTTGCCGAGCCCGTTCCTGCACAAAGGAGATCGGACTGCATTGTTGCAGCAGCAGCCAGTAGCAAGGGGAAGAAGAAGCGGCAATGGAAATGATGGGTTGTTGCGGGTTGGAGTGTGGTTGCGGGCGTGGTGTCTGGAGCCTCACATGGCCTCACAGTTCAGGCCCACGGATGCAGGCTTTGACTGCTCAGCACACGAAAGCTGCTACCAGCAAAGGTCCTGAAAACGGCTGACTACTCTTGGAGCCCCCGATTTCGACTGGTGGACAACAGCACAAGAGCTGGGAAGGGAATCTTGAGTGATGCGATGGCAGTGGCCTAAACGCTCAATTAGAGTTGGGGTTTCAATATTGTGTAATTCACGAATTACAAGGGCTAAACGGGATTCTCGCAGCCCCAAAGATCGTCAAGACTCACTGTAACACAGAGCACGTCAGTCCCTTCGAAATCACAAAACGTTTTGCAAACTGAAAAGCACATCAGACCAGATCCAGTCCCCGCAAGAAACCCTTCATCACCCGACTCCACAAATAGTGGAGAAGGTTTAAACGGCAATCCCAAATCTGGCCTGAACTGCTCAAGGGTCTCGTCGTAAAACCAGGTCTCACAGGCGGGCTGGGCTTGAGGGGTGTCTCAAAACTGGTTGGGTGGGTCTTTGCAATAAGGATCGACATTGCGAGGTGTGAACAAGCAACAAGAAACTGATGGGAAAAACCTCTGTGCCATCCTAAAGAGAAACTGTTGTGTCGCCCTATGCGCCCTTTTTAGCCCGACGCATCCCTACCAGAAGCCCAACTATAACTTATGAGCCCCATACAGCCCTGGGTTCCCCAAGAGGACCTGCATTTGGACAAATCTGCTTTTTGAATAGCAAGTGTTTGGTGTGCACTCCATTTAGCCAGCAGCGATGCACCAAAGCCCATTGGCTAGGAAGAGTATAGGGTCAATGGTCGCTAGATTCAACTGGTGGGACACCTTGCTTCTTAAGCCTTAGACATTGGGACATATGATGAACGGGCCCGCCTACAGAATTGCGAAAGAAGGGGGGCTAGGTAAGAAGTATGTAGGATGCGGCACAGTACGTCAACAGGAGTTGCGGGACACTGCCACAGAAGGACAGAAGCTCAGCGCTCCGATCATGCACATCCTGTGGTCGGCAAGATACCCAAGCACTGCTCATGCTCCATCAAACAACAATGCCACATTCGACCGCCACGTTCGACCTTTTCCCGAGACCTATGCATGCGCGGCCTGACCGGAGCTGCCAGCGCTACACCACAACATATGCTCGCGCGCTCGCGCGTGAGAATATCAACCGTTCGGAATCAAAGACTGAAGATAGGTCATGATGTTCAGGCACCACAGCTTAGGCTGCTGCTGAAAACATAGGATCCACACAAATGTCCATCCAAGACTTCATGGGTGACTCCCTTTCCATGCAAACAAAACCCCAGGGTCTGCATAATCATCATTCAATCCCCCTGCGATTGCAGCTCCAATGGAAAGGATATTCAAGATCCCGAAGAAGTCTCCCTACAATCCCAATACAGCCCGAAAAAAAATAAATCTTTTACATTCTTTAGTATACTACAAATGCTATTACATAGCGCATCATAGCACTATCCTTTTTCCTTGCCACACTGTTCCCCGAAAAGCTGAGCAGAGCTCCTGTAGCTCGTCGCTCATGTTGCATGAGCGCATCTCCAAGCAACTCCTGCAAAGCGAATGAATTTGGGGGTGGTTCTCACACTTGGAAACGCACTAGAAGGATCCTTATCATCAGCAGTAGGCTGGCCTTTGTAGATCTATGGGGGACCCACATGTTGAGAAGAATGATGAAAAATGCACATCTTCAGTCATCTTCTCTATCAGACAAACCCTTGCTGCCAACCCGCATGAGTGCAGTCAGTGGCAAAAGGCGTCATCCCTAAGGCATGAGTTTCTCGAGGCTCCAAAAAAGTTGAAGCCCATGCTGCTTTTACGGCACTCAAGATGTCTCAAAATTATCTGGAACACCTCAGTCCTGGACATGCCTACCATCCTACCTGATACTGGTCGGGGGAAATTCCGAAGTCCTGGACATACCATCCTTTGCAGCCAGGCAGATGCCGGTCTTGAGCCTGCATAGATGTGGCTTCTTTTGAGGGGCGAGGGTTCTCCAGCAGGCTTTGTAGAGATGATGCAGGGCTTAAGAAAGGACATCTAGGCTGGAACGGGAAGAAGCCCATGTAACTACCAGAAACAGAACCAACGTGTTTTCAATGTTTTGTGCTTTGTGTTTGTCCGACATCTCTGTGTAAACGGGGGGTAAACACCATGCTGCATGTTCAAGGGCATACAAGTTCCCATTGTCTAGTTTCTGAACGTGCGTGTGCTTGAGCGGTCAACTAGCGGCTCAGACCACATCTGTCCAAAGCAGACCCGGCCATCTGTTACTTGCTTCAAGGACATAGACCTCTGAACTCTCAAACATCCCGTGCTACACGATGCACAGATTTTCAAGATGAGCTCGTCACTTCCCGTTTGCCAAAGTCTCAACCCAGCCTTCGTAATGCAACACGTACCCGGTACTTCAATGCCTGATGTGGAATCCCAGCGAGACGGGCGTCTGCGTAGTGGTGGCGATCCCATTGAACAGCCTTTGCTTCTATGAGGCAGTTTCAGCCTGTGGCGGGGGTGAAATGCGTGCCACATTTGAGTTGCAGTGGATGGATTCTGGAGGTAGAGGAGACAAGCAGGAAGCAAGCAACAATCAGATAGAAGGGCGGTATGAAGAAGAAGGGGCAACTGCACCACAAAGCTAGAGTACACATGGAAGTAATAGTTCTCGTGGCGTTTGCCGTCAAAATTGCAATCCTGAAATGGCTAACAAGAAATCTAGCGATCAACTCTCCAAGCTGTCAACTCTACAAACCCTACGCACCCTTCAGACCCGACAACCATCCACCCTCAGAAGCTTCGTGGAGAGTGGCCACTGCTGGCTGGTGCTGTCTGGATCGCAGGTAGCTAGGCGAAGCTCGGAGCCTCCTCCAGGATGGGGTTTAGGGTGTAAGATTTAGGGTTTAGGGTTTAGGGTAGGGATGGTTGGGGTTACATTGGGTTGTATTGGGACACTGGCAAAGAAAAGGAAAATTATAGGGACTGTGGGGATTATACAGGGATTATATAGGAGTTATATAAGGATTCTATGTGTAGGGGGATTTTCAGAAATCGCGAGCCCAAATATAACCCCCAATATGCTCCGATCCTTATGATGGATACCCCACAAAGTGGGACATGATTTCAGATCCCTGTTGGCCTTGGTTTCTTTGGGGGTGGTCCTGGGCGGATGTAGGTTTGGGTGTCTAGTGGTTTGGGGGCTTTCGGCTTGAGGGGGGGGGGGGGGATATGTTTGAGGGTGAGGTTTTTGAAGGTGAAGCCGCGATGTGCCAGTCTAGGCTCATGCCTGCAACAGAACCGAGAGTGACCACAGCAATAGGGATATGGGGCTATATTGGGGTTATATTGGGTTATGTTGGGGTAATATTGGCATAATGGAAAATAAATTATTCGAGTGAATCATTGGGTCCCGCTTTCAGCAAGTTCTGTAGGTCTCTCGCAGGCTTGAGCAGCAGGATGCCTGGCCTGTGGCCAACGCTTCCACGCAGAGGCCCCACCTGACAAGGCTTGGTCCTCATCTTATCAGTGCATGCTGCGATCAGCTCTGTACTCTACGACATATCAAACACCTTGAGTGAACAGGCATGCAGAGCGACGTCTTGGGCTACAACTAGCTATGATGCATCAGGACTTCAAACTTGACCTTACCCGTCATTACCTGGGCAGTTTTTACAAGTGGAAAGCGCCGACAGGCTGCGGATTCCAGATGAGGCCGGCTGTTTGGTCGTATGCCTGAGATGCGTCCATGCCAACGCAAGTAGCAGCTGATCCAAACAAGTAATTGCATCCTTGTTTGCGCTAAACACCCTGTGATGATCTTCGACAACTTCAACTTCCACGCAGACCTATGGATCAACTATCAAGTATGTTTGGGTACTGCAAGTTCAGAGGCGTCGCCTCCACAGAAATATGCAGTTAGGCTTACAAATCTGGAAGCACCCAGCCTAGTCAGAAGCACAAGTTCCTTGGACCCTGTGACTCCAACCTATTCAATAAGGGTTGGACATACATGGGGGGTTATCCCCAAAATTTATCCGGATAAATTCCTGCGGGCATGCGAGAATACACATCAAGGGGGTTAGGGCCTCAAGAATCACGGATTTCGATGGTTGATGGGCATTGGCGAGGACCGGAAGCCTGAAATTAAAATCTTTCAGGACTACGCCGCAAGGCTAAAATTTTGGCATGCCTCCTCAAGCGCTGCCGTCGCCAACCCTCGCCGCTCACGATCAGCAGGAAGCTCAGACTTTGTCGTCTTTGTCGTCAAAACCCTCGCCTCCCACTATCACAGCGGGTGGCTCAGGCTTCGTCGTCTTTGTCGTCGCCAGCCCTCGCCTCCCGCTGTCACAGCAAGAGGCGCAGACTTCATGTTTGTCTTCGCAACTGCCTCCCACTATCACAGCGGGAAGCTGCCCTGCGCGCAAAAATACATCCTGTCGGCCTATAACCCCGAAACTGATCATCTACTGACATAAGACTTCCTGGATTCCACCGGGACCAACAACATACAGGAAATAAAATCCTGCGAATGGCCACAAAGATCCGAAAATACATCATGAATGAAGAAACTATGAAAATAAAGCTTGAGGCTTGAGTCCCTAGATTTTATTTTACCGCATCCGACCCCTATCTATTCACAGTCCCTTCCTAGAACTTGCATGGCGTACCATTTGCTTGCTTGAACGCGACCAGTGCCGCTGCCACTCTCGATTGCCAGGTGCTCTAGGACAAAACATCCTCACCTCTTGAAGCTCCTGCGCTGAAGCCTGATTCAGGCTAGTGGTCCTACGAAAGTTATCCCTAAAGCGTACAGAACCCTAGCTAATCCCTTCAACAGCCACCCAGCAGGAGCCACCAA